TACTTTAGATATGAGTCCACAAACATTAAAATTTATAATTGACCCACATTGGGTATGTCCCATTAAGACTTTAAAAATTGTATTTCTGATAGACCCACTTTGAAAATAGTCCAAAGCTGCACTAACTATAGGAATATTTTCTTTTAATTACTCTGATTTTTCTATTGTTTGTTTGCACAATATAAGTTATTTTATTATGAATTTTGAAGGTTGTTTATCATTTATTATGCGCTTTTTTGCATTTTAGTAGTTTTCCAATATTTTTTTGGTTTACAGTCCTCATGAAGGAAAAATGACTATGTACCCGACTGCACTTTTTGAAACATTGTTGTTAATTTATTACTTTCTTGATTCAATGATCCATCTTATATTTTTTACTTCCAAATTATACTTTTATTCTTGTTAAAAAGTTGCATTATTTTATAAATTTTCGATTTATTTTATAGGTTACATTGAAGATAAATCTTGCACCTTGCCTACAAAAGTGAATTACTATGATCCCCATTCAGGCTTTTTAAAATCATAGCAGGTTTTTGAGACATTCGCCTAGAATCTAGAGACAACTTTGCCTTTGGAAGGGAACATCCCTTGACACCCTATTTAGCTTTATTAAAAACTCAGTATTAATTCACGTGGTCTAAAATGAACAAGATGATTACACCGAAAACAGTTGAAATCACCACAGAATAACAAACCAATCAAAGATAAAATAAAATCATAATATAATTACATCATTCAAGTATACCACGTTAAAAACTTTTTTCATCAGTAATTAAGAATTAATCCAACTCACTTAACTGAAGGAAAGTATCTTACCTTCTGATGGATGCTCAAATCCTGAATCCACTATAGCCCGTAAAAGCTCTGGCTTCAAGAGGAAGTCTCTGAATCCTGAACTGTGGATCCCAACATAGCCCCTGAAATCAAAACATATTTTAACACCTCGTGTTAATAACTTCCGTAAAAAAACCTTTTATGTGCAGGAAAAATGTAACGTCAATCGGAGCTCACTTTTTGACCGACTCGCCGTTGACTTTGGCGTTGACGGAATCAAGGGCTTTTTCGTCTTCTTCCTCGTAATCGAGAAGCTCCTCTTCATAGGCTTCGTTCTCCTTTGTATCAACCATATTTTACTCAGCTGCTTTTGTAACACATATAACAACAGATCAATACCCAAAATCAAGCTCTTTCAAGTTTGAGACCCAAAAAGACACATATCCCACATATATAAACAGATCGATACATATATGAGCAGTTCTAGGGTTGTTGTTTGTTTACCTGTTGAATCTAAGAAAAAGGATAGAATTTTTGAGGATTTATAGCTAGGGTTCGGAAATTCTGCAGAGAAAAACTGTTAGGATGGATTAGAGAACTATTGTATATAGAAGATGAGGTGGGAGGGCTGCAGCGGATAAGTGTGCTAAAACGACGACGTTGCTGTTGGGACCTTGCCACGGACAATAAAGTTAAAAACACAAAAAGCCAATGTTAGCCCCCTTCTGGCCCCATTACTTCCCATCAAGCCCCTGCTTGGGCTTCATCATTCTACGTCACAATGAGAAGATTAGTAATATTTCGAAAAAATGCATAATTAAAAAAAAAAGGAAATTGTTTTAGATTTACGTATAAATTTATTTATTTTATAGAATTAGAGCTTGTTTGGGAGGAATTAAAATTAAAAAATTATTCGTTATTGACTTTTATTAGACGAGCGAGACCCAATAACGACTATATTTTCAATTTTAATTGAATTAAAATCCCTCACAGACAATCTCTAATAAGAAGAGAAAAAAATGAATTTTTAATTTAATGAGGAATAAACAAGGCTAAATTATAATTCATTTTTCTTATCAATCACAGATTTTTCAATAAAATAATATTACTTGTAAACTCAAAAAAAAAAAAAAAATTCCTTCTTTTTAACCATGTATTTTCCAAAAAATTACTATTATTTTCGTTATAATGTGAAATAATGAGGGCCAAACCGGCGTTTACTGAGAGATTGTCTTTTGATAATTATGTTATCGCTACAATAAGTGTTCGGTACATCACAATTTTCTTAAATAATCACGAGTAAAATGACATGAATATCCTATATACTATTCACGGATATATTTATCTTTTTCATTATCATTATTCATACACCTGTAAAGATATATAACTCATATTTAAAAATACAAATGTAAAGATCCGTACGATTCGTACAACAAAAGAGACAAAGTTTGAACAAAAGAATTTGAATGGGGCAAATAGATGCAAATTTGAATATTGAAGCAATGCCTTTAGGAATTGCAATTACAGTTGTTGTTCCTGTCCTCCTCATTTTGTTTTTCATAAGAGAGCATACGTAAATGATCATAGGAAAAGATCTTCGGCCTCTCTTTTTCACCATGTGCTTTTGTTAACTCACTGTGTTATCAGTCTTGATTTTATTTATTTATTTTTATCGGGTTGTTGCTTATATTTTATAAATAAGATAATAATGAAAGGTAATGACGTTATGTGTTAAATATCCTTTAAAAATATAAACGAGAAATATGCTATTGAATGCATTGAGTCGGTGGGTGAGGAAAGTTGGTTTTGGCTTCTTCTTTTTTCCCACTATACGATGGTCATCACTGAGTCTTGGCCTTGAATACTAAGACTCGACATGATTTGCCTTCTACAGACAAGATGGTCTGCTGCACAATCTTTTTTGAGCCCCTCCTCGTGCCGACTTATATCGTTTCCTGACTTCGTGTGCCTTATAATGGCTAGAGGAACAATGAAAAAATTGAAATAAGTAGTTTTTGTTATTTCTGAAATACAATCAGAAGATCAA